TGCAGTGGCAGTCAGTCCCCTGCCCAGCCACACCACACCAAATCCAACAGGAGAGGAACAAGAAGCCACCACCTTCTCTATGTTAATCCACACCTCATGTCCCACTGCTTCGTCACATCTCTCTAACCTCACTCAGCCACTCCAACTGATGTCTACTGGATTCCAACTCAGTGCATCATTCCTGGCTATTTCCTCTTAGCAGGTCTTCCAAGTATTCAAACCCTCCACCAGCAAGCTAGGTTAGCCTCTGCCACTCATCATCAAGGGCTGAGCCTAGGGCAAGCAAGTCAATCCGTAAGTGTTGAACTATATAGTGTAGACTAGAACTGCCATAGGACATCAGAAAAGAAAAAAACCAGTTTGGGGTCTTGTAGAACAGATGACCTTGACTTTGGAGAGTTAGAAAGAACATTCTAATCTGGAAAAAATAAAGACACTGAGGCAGAAAAGAGCTTGGGGACAATAGGACTGGAGATAAGAAATGAGCCTGACTGAAGTATAACCACAATGGAACCAGCATTTGGAAATCTGAGAGATAAAATGGGGTCAGATCACAATGGGTCTTAAAATAAGGCAAAAGAGATTAGACTTCATATGTAGACAGGTATCATGGTAAGTTTTTGATCAAAGAAAGGAGGAACATGTTATTTTAGAATTACTATGTATTTCTAATATACAAAATTACTATGTATTTCTCACAGAAGATGATATAGAATCTCCCTGGTTTACAAAGAAGATAAAGGAGGGGATAATGCTTATTCTCTCTACCAAAAGCATTCTTCATTTTTCCTGGAGGCTTCATCATTGGTTATTTTGAGACTTTTTGTTGTTGGGGTACAGTTCAATGTAGAAATTTAGAAGATACAAGCAAAATAAATGAAAGTTATCCCAAAAATTCACACACAAAACTAAGCATTAAGATATTTATACACATCTTCCCACAATGATTTATTATATATATATATACTAATAAAAAATTTATTTATGCCATATAAATACATTCCACTCACTTAGCAATATATTTTCCACTGGTTGCTTTTGAGTGGTAAATTTCTCTATCATATTTAAATTTTATTTGATTTTTAAAAATTTAAATTTATATGCACCTTTTTAGAATTTTATTCCATAGCTCATGGAAGCATTTTCCTAAATTGTTCTACAGAATAGTTAGAGCTACAAGATATCCTGCCTCAAATAAGAGGGTTATGTTTAGATGTTCTTAGATGTCCTATAATGAATAGATCATAGCCATATGAAGTTTACCCAGGAAATACCTTCTCAATGAAAATTCATCAATATTGGCATAATTCTAATTGAAATTAATATAACTCAAAAGGAGTTCAAAACACAGTCCTGATCAAAATGTCCCACACCCAAGGAAATTATCAACTGAAGCCCCACTTTCTGGGACAATAGTGATGCCCCATCACCCAATGAGGCCAATCGTGGCCATTTAGCCACTTCACAAGAACAAAGAGACCAGAATTCAAAAATTTGCTTGAGATTTGATACGGATCTGTGAAGGTCCCTTTCAACCCTGAAATACCATGATTTTAATTGAGAGCATTAAAAAAATCTTTCAGATCTAATCACTCATTTGCCAGCCTCAAGCAAGCCGTTTCTTCTCTCCAAGTCTCAGATGCTTCATCCCAAAGTGAACCGTCTTTGTGTGAAACCAGGGCTGCTATCCCCTGGGCCACAGACTCTAGATCCCCTTGGTGTCCCCCCCCAACAGCGACACACTCACACCACCTTGGTCTCCTGGTTTAACTTCCACAGCCTCACTGAGGACCTCTTATTTTCTCTCTTTGTTGAGGAAGAAATGGTATAAGCAAACAAAATCATCAAGAGTTACTCACATGTGCACAGAAAACATAAACCAAACAACTGGAAAAAATAAAGAAAGTAGGTGAAAGGTGACATTGTTTTGCTGAATGGGTGTCAGAGGTTAGCATACAAATCCACAGGGAGGATAAGAGCTTCACTATTGCTAACACATGCTCTGAAAAATCTGTTCAGTGAACTTCATTCCAGCAGCCCAGCCTCCATCCCCAAATTGGTTTCTTCTGTAAGACCTAAAGGCAAAGAAAGTCTCACATTTTTTTTCTTTCTTTTTTTCCAGGAAAACAAGTTTTAAAATTATTTTAAAACACTGGGGCTCAAACAGAAAGAGATTCTCCTTCCTCCTTAGAAAAAGACCTGCTATTCCAGTACAGCCCCAGGCCCCACACAATTTGGCTTTGCTGAACCCGGTAGGGGTCTTTTTGTCTTTCTGTACTCCTCAGAGCCCAGAGAAACCAATTCTGTGCCCCCTTCTTCCTGGTGTTGAACAAGAATGAGGGAAAGCTCAAGGCGATTTTATCTGGGATACTCTGCAAGGTAGAATAAAATATCTTTGAGTGGTGATCACCGCTTCAGTTGAGACCTTCCACCTATCCTCCAGGCAAAATATTACAAAGACCAAAAAACCTAAATCGAATTAAGTCTGAGAAAGGCACAGAGCTAATTCCTTGGCTGAAAACAAAGCTAGGCCTTCTGTTCTGAAACCCTCAGGGCTCCTTACAGGCTGCAGAACTAAACCCATCGCACTGCTTGAATGAAGCAGTCCCATATTTTTGGTGCAATGTCTGAGATCTAGTTTCTTTGGTGTGTCTCTCTCCATAAAGACTGTCACTTGAACATACTGCAAGGTTGCCTATTTCCACCACTGTAATATCCTTATGTCCACTTTAGAGAGAACCTATCATGCTAGGGCTATTTGTAGTGCTAAGACACAGAATGGGTCTTCCCCAAAGCCTTAAGAACCAGTTATAGGACTGTTCTTGTACCTGCTGGTTAATAAACATTTCATACTTCAGCAGAATTCTAACACCTCATCTGGTTTGGAGGTTATAAAGAAGGGGATTCATAGCCCCCACACACCTAAACCACCAAAGGTAGGGAGACCAACGCATCCTGGTTTGCTCACAACTTTCTTGGTTTTAGCACTGGAAAGCCCATGTCCCAGGAAACCCCACAGTGCAAGGCAAACCAGGACACTGGTCCCCTACGTATCCACCAAAAGAATTTCCCCATTGCTGAATGCCAAATTAACCTAAGTGCATAACATCTTGTTTCCCTTAAGATGGCTTCTACAGGCTAAAGTTGCCAAAAGGATCAAAGGAAAACATAAGATCTAGTGCCTTGCCTCTCAAAGTGTGGCCTGCAACATCTATATCTCCCAGAAGCTTGATAGAAATGCGGAGTCTCAGGCCCAATTCCAAACCTACTAAATTTAAATCTGCAATTTAGAAAGGCCTCCAAGTGAGACCTTGCACAAGGCCTCTGTGCACCTTAAAGTCTGAGGGGCACTGTCCTAAAAGAAGACATCTCAGGGGGTGACTTTTACCTGGGTCTTGAAGTCAGTAGGAATGAGTTGGCAGAGAGGGGGGGGAAACACCAGAAAAAAGGGGCACAAAGGCCTAGAAGACAGCAATGAGTTCATTCATTAGGAGTCATTTATTGTTTCTGGGTGTTAGGGATGGGAAATAACATGGAAAGTCAGGCTGGGGAGAGACTGTGGAAACCCTTGAACATGAAACTAAAGTATTAGCCCTGTATCTTCCTTGCTTTCTCTCCTCTCAAGGCTCAGTCAGCTACTTAAACTCTTGATTTATTTCCTGAAAGCTAGAGCCCCTCCCTCCCCCCTGGGTTAGTCTGGCAGTGGTGGGACTCCCACAGTGCTAGCTGCAGGGTGGGGGCAGAAGGCCCAGGAGGACCCTCCCCCAGGCTGCATTCAGGTTCAAGCTATTCTCGCCAGAATCTTTGAAGGGTCAGAACCCTGTGTCTCTGGCTTAGGGAACTTAGTTTCTGTTGGGGGAAGGCAGAGGAGATATGCAGCAGTTAAAGGGATGCAGGTCAAGGATCTCCAGTACCAAATGAAAAGTTAGGACAATGAAGAAAAATGAGAAGTCTCAAGCAACCTCTTTCATTTTGAGACATAATATGGAGTGGTAGTTACTTCACCCCTTTGTGCCTGAGTTTCTTAAATTACACAAAAGGGATAACCTTTGAACCAACCCCATAGGTTGTAAGGATTCAATGAATTAATGCATGCAAAGCTTTCAGAACAGTGCCAGGAGCTCTCTAAAAGATACTGCCTTGAATTAAACACTTGTCTCTGTCATAATACAGGAGTTGGAGACGTGACTTGTTGAGTGGGGAGGTGGGGTGTGGCAAAGCCTCCAAATCGACCCAAGGGACCCTCTTTGTAGATGTTGGCATTTGCAAACACATTATTCTTGGTTACTTAACAAGGTCATCAAATATGGAATGCTAATCAATCAAACATAGGGTGAACTGAGACTCCCTGTGTAATTAGAGGATGATCAGAGAAACAAAGCCATGATGAATGATATAAGCATGACATAAATATATAAATGTAAGATATAAAGAGTGATATAAATAAAGGGTTTATTACAGTGGCTAGACTTTAAATTAAATTGGCATTGTACAAAGCCACTATACTGTGTGTCCCTACCATGGGTGGTCAATTTTGAGAACTTCACAGAAAAACCTTATTCTATTTATTAAAGCCCAGGAGGCCTCTCTGGGAAGCGTTTTCTCTAGTCCTTCCCTCTTGGGGATGTACTATATGCCGCCCTTTGGACACATCCTTAATAGGACCCAATCACTTGTGTTGCAACTATTCGTGTTCACCTGCTCCCTGGACTCTGTAAGCCCTTTTCAGGCCAGAAGCTGTGTTTCATCTCTTTGCATCTCCTACTCCTACCATGGTCCCTGTCATGTATTAGATCAGACCATGTGAAATCAATGCTATTTTATCATCTTTGTACCACAAAAAAAATGCAATTTCAAAATTTCAGGGTATTAGGAGGCACTGGCAAATTTTTGCCAAATAAATGAGCACAGGACAATCAAATACCTATGAATTCTGGTAAGGCATCAAAGGAAGGCAATACTTCTGGTTTTTGTAGGACCTCAAGTTCCTTACGACATACCTCAATTATCTTTGTACTCTTGAAAGTGGAGGTGCCAATGAATGATCCCCAACAGGTGAAACACATAGGCTTCATACCATTTTCACATCTCTGGAGCCTGAAAGAGTTTCCATATAGAAGGTGATCAATTCCCTAATGAGTCCAAAGCACAGTTTTCTGTACCATTTTAATGTTTTTAGAGGCTGGCAGTATTTCCACACAGCTGCTAAGTGGCAGACTCCAAGATGGATGAGATTAACTTCTGAAATGGCAAGTGTCCAAGATGGCTTAGAAAGCAGGGGCTGAACTCTGCTTGACTTTCAGTCCCAGCATCACGGGAAAGCAAGGAGCCTCAAGAGGTCACAGATCTCATCCGTGTTATCACTTGGACCTGAAAATTAGCAGATACAAAATAAGTTTTTTAAAATCAAGTTGTGGATTGCATTAAAGATGGTGGTGTGAGGGATGAGACAGAGGCTTCCTCCTAAAACTACATAAAATATGAAAATATAATTAATACAACTAATCCTGAAAGAACAACAGGAAAGAGGGCTGCATCAGACAGCATACACCTGGAGAAAATAAACCTCACAGAATAGGGTAATGTATGAAAGCCATAGTCTGGCAGAACCCAAGCCCTTCCCCACCCTAGCTCACTGGAGGAAAACAAATGGAGCCAGGAGCAGGTGGAAGCCTAAGACTGCTGAACACCTAGCTCTGGAAGCACAAACCTACATTTCATGGTACTCTCGTGATTAGGGGGGATTGGAAAGCTAAGAAAGGGAGAGTACTTGGAGAGATTGAGATTTCAGCCACTTGTGGAAAGCAGGGATCCATATCTGGCTGCTCTGGGACAAAAGAAAGGTGGGCAGTCTGAGAGACTTCCTAACAGCGAGAGGGCTGCTAAAGGGGCAAAGATTGCACAGAACTTACTGCTCAGGAGAAAGGACAGGTAGACAAAATTATCCAGGGGCACACCACCCAGCAAGTTAGGAACTTTCATGATCTTCAGGCACTCTAGCCCCCTGGCTGGCTATGCAGCTCCAAAGCCCCCCTCCATGATACACAGCCTGCTGCACCTTCCTCTCAACCAGCTCGACCTGGCTCGCAAACTGGCAAACCCTACCCTGGCGTTAGACCAGCCAGAGGAAGCCCCACCTACAGCAGCTACAAATGCAAGGCATAGAGGCTTATGGCAGTGTGCTCTCCCCTCCCCTCTGATTCTGGCAGTGGAGACAGGTATAGCAGCCGGGAAGCAGGAAACAGCTCTTTCCTCCCCACAGGCACCAACACCACTCTCCTGCGACCCCGGACATTGCTCTAGGGGCTGATAGCACCAGAGAATAGAGCTTTTGGACACTAGAGGATGCCACATACAAACATGAAATGTCAAAGGAACCTGCTTCAAAGTAAAATTTTGAATACACCAGGAAAAGATTCAAATAAAATCAACCTCATGAATCTTCCTGAAAGAGATTTCAAAATAAAAATCATTAACATGCTCATAGAGGTACAGAAAAATATTCAAGAACTCAGGATTGAATTCCGGTCAGAGATCCAATCATTACACAAAACAGTATCAGAAATGAAACATACAATGGAAGGTTTTAAAAGCAGATTAGATATGGTGGGGGAGATGATATATGAAATAGAAATTAGAGAAGAGGAATACAAAGAAGCTGAGGCACAGAGAGAAAAAGGGATCTCTAAGAATGAAAGAATATTGAGAGAACTGTGTGACCAATCCAAAAGGAACAATATTTGCATAATGGGATACAGGAAGAAGAGAAAGAAAAAGGACTAAAAAGTATCTTTGAGGACATAATTGCTGAAAAATTCCCCAATCTGGGAAAGGAGATAGTCTCTCAGGCCATGGAGGGGCACAGATCTCCCAACACAAGACACCCAAGGATGATAATACCAAGACGTAAAATAATTAAAATGTCAAAGAGTAAGGATAAGGACAGACTATTAAAAGCAGCCAGAGAGAGAAATAAGATCAAATACGAAGGAAAATCCATCAGGCTATCATCAGACTTCTCAGCAGAAACCTTAGAGGCCAGAAGGGAGTAGCATGATATATTTAATGTAATGAAGCAGAAGGACCTTGAAACAAGATTACTTTATATGAAAAGATTATCAGTTAAATTTCAAGGAGGGATTAAAGAATTTCCAGATAAGCAAAAGCTGAGAGAATTACCCACCACAAACCATCTCTACAGTGTATTTTGGAGGGACTGATATAGATGGAAGTGTTCCTAAGGTTTAATAGTGGTCACCAGAGGTAACATAACCACAGTAAAGAAAGTAGAATAGTTAATCATTAAGCAAACACAAAATTAAATCAACTACCCCAAAAGTCAATCAAGGGATAGAAAAAGAGTACAGACTATGATACCTAACATATAAAGAATGGAGGAGGAAGAAAAAGGAGGAGAAAAAAGAACCTTTAGATTGCATTTGTAATAGCATATTAAGTGAGTTAAGTTCGACTCTTAGATAGTAAGGAAGTAAACCTTGAACCTTTGGTAACCATGAATCTAAGGCCTGCAATGGCAATAAGTACATACCTATTGACAATCACCCTAAATGTAAACAGAGTGAACACACCAATCAAAACATACAGAGTCACTGAATGGAAAAAAAAACAAGACCGATCTATATACTGCCTACAAGAAACTCACTTTAAACCCAAAGACAGACACCGACTAAAAGTGAAGGGATGGAAAAAAGATATTTCATGCAACTAATAGGGAGAAAAAAGCAGGAGTTGTAATACTTATATCAGACAAAATAGACTTCAAAACAAAGAAAGTCACAGGAGATAAAGAAGGATATTACATGATGATAAAGGGTCAGTCCAACAAGAAGATATAACCATTATAAATAACTATGCACCCAACATAGGAGCACCTACATATGTGAAACAAATACTAACAGAATTAAAAGGGGAAATAGAATGCAATGCATTGATTCTAGGAGACTTCAACACTCCAAAGGACAGATCAACCAGACAGAAAATAAGTAAGGAGACAGAGGCACTGAACAACACATTAGAACAGATGGACCTAACAGACATCTACAGAACTCTACACTCAAATGCAGCAGAACACACATTCTTCGCAAGTGCACATGGAACATTTTCAAGAATAGATCATATACTAGGGCACAAAAAGAATATCAGTAAATTCAAAAAAGCTGACATTGTACCAACCAGTTCTCAAGCCACAAAGGTATGAAACTAGAAATAAGTTACAGAAAGAAAATGAAAAATCCCACAAACACATGGAGGCTTCACAACATGCTCCTAAATAATGACCAAATAGAAACAGATATCACGTAATATATGGTGACAAATGACAACAATAATTCAACACCGCAAAATCTGTGGGACACAGCAAAGGCCATGCTAAGAGGGAAGTATATTGCAATATAGGCCTACTCAGGAAAGAAGAACAATCCCATAAGAACAGTCTAAACTCACAATTAACAAAACTAGAAAAAGAAGAACAAATGAGACCCAATGTCAGTAGAAGGAGGGACATAATAAAGATTAGAGCAGAAAGAAATAAAATTGAAAGGAATAAAACAATAGAAAGAATCACTGAAAGAGCTGGTTCCTCAAGAAAATAAACAAAACAGATAAACTGCTACCCACACATATCAAGTAAAAAAGAGTCTACACACACAAACAGAATCAGAAATGAGAATGGAAAAATCACTACAGACACCAGAAAAATACAAAGAATTATTAGAGAATACTATGAAAAATAATATGCTAACTGGATAACCTAGAAGAAATGGACAACTTTCTAGAAAAATATAACCTTCCAAGGCTAACCCAGGAAGAAACAGAAAATCTGACTAGGCCAATTACCAGCAATGAAATTGTATTGGTAATCAGAAAACTACCTAAGAACAAAACCTCTGTACCAGATGGCTTCACCACTGAATTTTATTAAACATTTAGTGAAGACCTAATACCCATCCTCCTTAAAGTTTTCCAAAGAGTAGAAGAGAAGGGAATACTTTCAAACTCATTCTATGAGGCCAGCATCACTCTAATACCAAAACCAGGCAAAGACACCACAACAAAAGAAAATTACAGAACAAAATCCCTGATGAACATAGATGCAAAAATACTCAACAAAATATTAGCAAACTGAATTCAGAAATACACCAAAAGGATCATCCATCATCTTCAAGTAGGATTTACTCCAGGATGCAGAATGTTACAACATTCGAAAATCCATCAACATCATCCACCACATCAACAAAAAGGACAAAAACCACATGATCATCTCCACAGATGTTGAAAAAATTCAACATCCACTCATTATAAAAACTCTCAACAAAATGGGTATAGAGGGCAAGTATCTCAACATAATAAAGGCCATATATGACAAACCCACAGCCAACATTATACTTAACAGCAAAAAGCTGAAAGCTTTTCCTTTAAGATCAGGAACAAGACAAAGATGCTCACGCTCCCCACTTTTATTCAACATAGTTCTGGAGGTCCTAGTCATGGCAATCAGACAACGCAAAGAAATAAAAGGCATCCAGATTGGGAAGGAAGAAGTTAAACTGTCCCTGTTTGCAGATGACATGATACTATATATTAAAAATCCTAAAGAATTCACTCCAAAACTACTAGATCTAATATCTGAATTTAGCAAAGTTGCAGGATATAAAATTAATACACAGAAACCTGTTGCATTCCTATACACTAATGATGAACTGGCAGAAAGAGAAATCAGGAAAACGATTCCATTCAGAATTGCATCAAAAAGAATAAAATACCTAGGAATAAACCTAACCAAGGAAGTGAAAGACCTATACTCTGAAAACTACAAGACACTCATGAGAGAAATTAAAGAAGATATCAATACATGGAAACACATCCTGTGCTCATAGATAGGAAGAATTAATGTTGTCAAAATGGCCATCCTGAGAGGGCAGACCCAAGATGGCAGCGTGAGTAGGGCAGCGGAAATCTTCTCCCAAAACCATATAGATTTTTGAAAATACAACAAATACAACTATTCTTATAAGAGAGACCAGAAGATTCAGGACAACAGCCAGGCTATATCTACATCTGCGAGAAACCAGCCCCTCATGAAAGGGGTAAGATACAAGCCGTGGCCCGGCGGGACCTGAGCGCCACCCCTACCCCAGCTCCTGGCAGGAGGAGAGGAGTTGGAGTGGGGAGGGAGAGGGAGCCCAGGACTGCTGAATACCCAGCCCTAGTCATCCACACCGGGAGTTTAGACACACAGCATGTGGTGTGCTGGATACTAGGGAAACGGAAGAGTAAAATCTGCAAGCAGGTTCCCACAGCTGGCACCCCTGGGACAAAAGAAAAGTGAGTGCTTTTTGAAAGTCTTAAAG